GCCTCAACCAGCTAAAGCCTGTGCTTTCAGAGCAGACGACAAAGTACAGGAACATGCTCTCAAGAATAAATTGTACCTCAAATGGTCTACAGATAACACTGGGGCTGTTGGCTCTATGACCTTAGCAAATCCAGTAGGCCATAGTTAAGGTATAAGCAGAACAATAAAAATAGCTTAATTTTAAAAGTTGTTTTAGAATAATTTTTTTGCATTAAGTCTGGATACAAACAAACAGTGCAGCCATTCAGTTCCTGCTTTGTTTGTACAGCTAGACAAACTTTATAATGTACAAGTCTAGTATAAACTTGCTAAAAGCTAGGTAATGCAGCAGGAATTTTTTGAGCATGTTTTATATTGTGCTTGAAAGACAATAAAGAATCGGGAAGCCCTTTCAGAAGGTTATTGATGTATCCAGTATAATATCAGCTGAGAACACGGCTTACCACGAAGTTCTTTGTCTCCAATCCCCCATCTAAAGGGCTACTGTCCCAGATGCTGTCTGTCTCTTCAGCTGTCCTGTCACCAAGTGGAAGTGGATGTTTGTAAAGTTTACCCGCTGTACTCTTCTGAAGCCTTGCTGAATTCATGGTGAGCTGTTACTATTTCTGCGTTTTGTAGAAAAATTGTGGTCTGCAGCAAAATTTGGTTTCTCACACTTCTTTCTACTGGAAATGCAGTTTCAATGGAGGCCCTGTGGTGAAAGTTGCAATACTAAACTTAGAATAATCTTCTCAAACTAGGATTCCTAGTAGTGTTACCTAAGTAAAAAGGAGCTTGACTCAACCATAGCTCCGCTATGGAGAACAGATAAAGTTTTTTCCTTTACAAAAGTTCCCAGATCCAAGGAGTTGAGGTCCCTTTTTACAGTAAGACTTTTCTGAAATAACTTGTTTGTTGATAACTTTAATAAAGGCCACTTAAGAGTGTTAAGTTTTTAAGGACTCCCAAAGTGAAGCTTAAAGTAGTCATTTTGGGAATGATTGCATATATCAATTTGTATTGTGTGTTAAATTACTATGCCGTGTGCTATTTTAGTGTTTTGGTAAAATGGAGAATAAAATCTGTTCTTTAGCATAAAAAAAAAAAAGACCAAACTAAAAAAAGAGAAGAGAACTACTAGTCCAGAAATGGAGCAGAATTTAAACCATCTTCTGTTGGCATAACACATGCACATATATTCATGTATATTTACATTTGTTGCACTTAATTTTAACCAAAGCCCAAGAAGTGATTGCATTTATTGACATTCAAAGGTTTTTTGTTTTCCTGTGGAAGGAAATAGATTTGAGAATTTCATTTTTATTTATGGTCCAATTCTGAAAAAAACCTCTGGTGGCATTTACATATCAGTTTCCTCCCTGACCCCACCCAGGTGCAAGGCTGGCTAGGTTCTGGTGGCCTCTTCTGTGGTCAATTCAAAGGGCCTTTTGACTCCACTTTTCCCTCTTCAACTCAAATCTATATCAATTCCCCCCCAAAAAATTTGTTTAAATAACAATTTAAATCTATGAACAAACATTCTCTATGGTGAGTTACGTGTCACTGGCCCAAATCTGAAAAAGACTGCCTCTGTCTGGAAAGTGTGAGTCTGAGATTAAAGCAGTGTTATGTATATTGAAAACATGAAATCATAAACCCACAACTCAAGGAGTTCACCCATACTCCAGTTAAGCAAGTGATACCAATACCACAATGTCTTCCATGCATCCTCCAACAATTTTTCACTCACATTAACCCTTGACCAAACTTCCCACTACCTCCCAGGGACATGCTGTGAGTGGGGTCACATCACTTGTCTTTGCTCTTGATCATGAGGCTCATGATTATGTGTGTGAGATAAATCCATGTGATTGTATGTAATAATAGTTCCCTGGCCTTCCTCACCACATAGGTTTGCAACATAAGAAGATACCATTATCCTACTCTTAAGAAACATGACTTTTCCTATTATTGTCTTTCATATATATTAAATTGTGACAGAAATTTGTAGGATTGTAATAGCTTGCTAATGAGATAGAGATAAGTTAGTATCTGCAAGTTCTGCCAAAATTGTTTTAGTAATTTGTGCAGATACTCTCTTGGGTGTCTATACTGGCTACTGAGTGCTAACTTTTTTTCATTTATTTAGTGGTCATTTAGATATTGTTTTGGTGGTGGTTTTACTGTTCATTTTTTTTAATGTGTCATCAATCTTTTTCTTGTTGGTTTCAGAAGAGTTCTTCACATATTCTGGGTTAGATCACTTTGTTGATTAGATAATTTTCAAATGTCTTCTTCACTTGTGGCTTGTATTTCCACTATCTACTAGCATCTGGTATCTTTTGAAGAGCATAAGTTCTTAAAATTAACTTCATCAAAGTGTTCATAGCTAATGAATTCTGTGTCATATTAAAAAAAAATCTGACTACAACAGTCACAGCCTTTCGTTTGCATTTAAGAAGTTCAGTTGTTCATCATTTCCTATAACGAATCAAAACTCATTCAAAATACATTTTCACATCTGATTTGAAGTAATGTCAAGTTCCTTTTCTTTGTCTTTTTCTTTTTGCCATATATCAGTTTATCATTTATAAAAATAATTGCTTTCTACCAACAACTATACAAAGCCTATTCTGTCATGAGCCAGTGTCCATGTACGCATGGATAGGATTCTAGGTTCTGTTTCTTCTATTAGACTGTTTATATATGCTCACATCATATCATGAGAAATTACTAAATGTAATAAGTAAAATATAGTACACTTTAAAAGGCAACCAGGTAGTTTTATTGTCAAAATAGTATAATTATAATTATAAAACATCTAAGAATTAACAGAAAAAATGCACTCCCCTAAATAATTTAGGAAAAATATAAAATTGTGAAGTTATTGGCAGGCATCAAAGAGTCCTGAGTCGATAGGGTATACCATGTTCATGAATGGTACTTGTCAGTGCCATGAAGATCATCATTTTAAAGCTTAGTTTATCAACTCAATGGTTTTTTGCATGACCAGATTTTTCTTTTTTCTTTTTTTCTTTTGTCGTTTTGAGACAATGTCTCGCTATGCAGTTCAGGCTGGCCTTGATCTCATTTTGTAGCGCAGGCTGGTCTGAAACTTGCAACAATCTTCCTGCCTCAGCCTCCTGAGTGCTGGAGTTACAGGCACATGCTACCATGCCTGGCTCATGAACAGATTTTTCTAATTCTCAACAAAATGATTCTACAATAATATGGACTATGACATAAAACATCCAAAGAATTTGGGAAAATGAGGGCAAGGAGAATGAATGGAACATGTCCTACAAAAATCAAGAACGTTTTCAAAATTGTAGTAGCCAAAACTGTTGTCATATATGTGCAGAAAAAATATAAAAGGACTCTCAAGTGGTGAAAAAAACACTTTTCAAAATTACTGGGACTCAATAATAATGAGTAATTGTATTTTTAAAATGTCACAGATTTAACACACTTATCAGAATGAGTAAAGATGGAAAAAACAGAGACTCATAGAGTGCTGGTTTTGTTTCACTGGCTCAATCATGTTGAGAGAAATTTGGGAAGATAAGTGAATAAATAAGGAAGTATTGAATATGATATAGTTATTCAGGGACAATCAAACTGCAAATAATTTATGGCAACTAGAATCCAATATTCTTTTCTTATGGAACGCATTAATGTAAACAGGCAAAATACACAGAGACTTGGTGAATGATATAAAGCAGAAGAGCCAAGTAGTAGGACAGAATATGTCTTCTTTAACTTCTTTTCACATCATGGTGAAAGTTATACTTAATTCAACAGAAAGGAAAGGATTAATAAAATGTATTCAGTTTAGGAGGGAAGCAAAAGATCTTGTCATTTAATTAAGAAGAATGAACAAAGAATTGCTGCCTAGAATTAATAAACAATTACAAAATACTGTTGGAATAAATTAAACAGAAACCAAACAAAGGGGAAAATGTGCCATGTACATGGAAGAAAAACATAATATTGTCAGGTGCCAGTTCTTTAGACATTGATGTATAGCTACAATCTCAGACAAAATCCCATGAAATTGCTCTGTGGTTTCTACAGTTTAGATCTAGAATGTCCACCAGTGGTGTATGTGTGGGGGGCTTGGTCCACCAGTTGTGCCATTAGCAGGAAGGGATACAGCTTTAGGAGATGGAGCTCATCAGAAGGATTTAGGTGCGCTGTGTAACCACCCTGTACTCTCACACTTTTCTTCCCAGCAGCCAAGAGGGAAGCAACTCCCTCCCCAGGTGTTGTGGTTTAGATCTAAAATTTGCCCCCAAATTCTTATGTAGTGGAAAGTGACTGGATCATAGAAGTGTTACACTCATAAGTGAATCATCCACTAATGTGTCTGCTAGGTGAATGTGTCACTAGGAGAAAGGATTTCATTGGTGGCAGGTCTTTGAGGGCATGGATGGAAGGGTGCATTCTCATTCTTGGTCCTCCCTTCTCATTCTGACCCCTGGTTGCCATGACAGCAGCCATGTTTCATCTGCAAGGCCCTTTTGTCATATTGTTTCATCCTTTGTGCTAGCCGACCAGGAACCAAAACCATGAGTGAAAATGAATCTCTCCTCTAAGTGGTGGGTGTCAGCTATTGTGTCTCAACAACAGGAAAGTGGCTAAGACACCGTGCACTCTTGCCATGATATACTGGCCCACACAAGCCCAAAACCAATGGATACAATCAACTATAAACTAAAATACCCCCGGCAATGAACCAAAATAAACCTCCCATTTTTAAAGTTGGTTATCTCAGGTATTTTGTTACTGCAACAGAAAAGATATACAGTGAA